AATAAAGGTGAGTTCGTATCACCCCAGGAAAAAAAAAAATTATTATTAAGGTAATAATTGCCCCAAATCATAATTTGTTTTGTTTTGTTTTTTTTTTTTTTTAGTGATTTGCCCCTAAGCAAATCTATTTTTGAAAGAAAATAAATTTTTTTTTTTGTGTTGCATATAAAATATGCTCTTATTAAAATATAATAAATACACTCTCAATAATTACCCATTAGGTGTGTCATCAAAGATAAAAAAAAAAAAGAAGAGGAGAAAAAAAAAAAGAATGATAAAAAACAAAAATCAAACCAACTAATCAAACCTCTTCAAAAAACCCAAAAGATAAAAAAAAAAATAAAAAATAAAAAATTAAGAAACGGATTTTCTTAACCATTCACTTGCTTTCCCTATTCCATCTTGAGTAACGGAAAAATTTTTATTCCATAAAGTAAAATATTTTAAAGAGTTCATAGAATGCCTTACAATCACTCTAAGATGTTCCTCATTTATAAAATCACAGATCTGAATAACAAATTTGTACAAAGAAACATGCTTAGAATTTTCCAAGAAGCGAGCCAAAATATCAGATCTAAATCTCCACCTTGCACCAATATCAAGTTCACCTAAAGTGGTGGGAAGGAATTTGCCTAATTCAGGTAAAAATTCATTAACTTCCAACAAACATCCGTTGCCATAAATCTCCAAGCACTGCAAATATCTACAATTACTTAATATAAGGAATAATTCGGAAATTTCGTGACGACCAATTGTAGCTCCCAATTTGGTTAGAAATGGACAAAACTTTGAGATGGAATCCAATATATAGGAATGACCATCCTGCCTGCAATCTTCTGGCCATCCGAAAACAATCTCTTGTAAGTTCACGTTACTTGAATGAATCAGAATTTGTAAGATATCAGTTGGAACAGGATCTTCTCTAAAGGTCAACGATTTCAGTCGCTTTAAAGGTGCCAATCGAAGCGGGGTCAAAATTTTGGGGATCAACATTTCGGAATCAATAAATGTTAATGATTCCAAATGCGTACAATATGGAAGCCAGTCTAATGGACATCGATTGTCAAACACCGTGTCAATAAATTCTACGTGACGTAAAGAAGATTTTTGACGTATTAACGCGGCTCCGATAGCTTTTGGATAATGCGATTCGCGAAGCGTGAACTGTTCAAGACCTCGTTGAACTTTTAAAAATCGAGCTGACATTTCAACACTACAGTCGTAATGTTTTCCATCTTCGTCGTATTCAAAATCAGGCAATCTAATTTCCATCTAAACGGGGGGGGTGAGGAGGGAAGAAAGAAATATAAATTTCTCGGAGATATTAATATTAAAAAATTATTTTATTAACCTCTACTTACTTTCTTAAGGTTCTTACAAATGGTCAATAAAACGGGAAAATTTTGGTCAATAACGAAATCTCCGGCCAATTCAATCTCCTTGATATGTGACATCCAATTACATACGATAGGATCCAATAAAATGGACCAATTTCTTTTTACGTTAAGAGTCGAATTAGCAGAAGTAATGACCCCATCAAAATCATGATGATTCTCATCGAACAACAACAAGCCATTTGCGGCGAGATCCAGACTCATATCCATATCCATGACGAAAACCAAAGTTTCTAATCCTGGAGAAAATTTCGCGAAAAGACGAAATAAGGCTTGAACAATTTTACGCATAGCATATGGATTCCAATTATTATTTACAGCGCACCATTCTTGTACTGAGGCAATGAATGAGAAATAAGACAAATGACGTAAAAAGGATGGATAATTATATGTTGGCGGATGTGATGGAATTACGGAATATGATAAAGGTAAATCAAATATGGTGGATAAAGAAGAATCGAATGAACAAGGGGAAGATTGAGAGGAAAGTTGAGAGGAATAATAAGATCTAGAGATTCCATTTATATCTAATTTGGATCTTTCTTCATTATCCAAACAGGCGAGATAAGTTGAAATGATTTGGTGAGACAAGTTAATGTGATTGTGAAGCAACAAATGAAAGGGCCGATTCCATAAGACGGGAACGACATTTGAACTCCAAATTTTATTAACCAAGAGACATGAATGTAAATAATCAATATCATTAACAAAATGTTTAAAAATTTCTTGTAAAATTTCATTAGGTGGTGATTGTGCCATTACGTTAAATTTTTTTTTTTTTCTTTTTTTAGATTTTTTTTTTTTTTTAAAAATTTTTTTTTATTTCGTTTCAATTGATATATATGTAATATGGAGTTTGGGAATAAAAATATGAAGAAATTTAATTAAAAAGAAAAAAATGGGGAAAGAAAAAAATGAAAGGGAAAAAATCCAAAGAATTCACCTTGAGGTGCGATTTCGTGCCTTTAATCTTTCTTTTTTTTTTTTTTTCCTCGAAAAAAAAAATTCTTTTTTTAGTGTATAATAAAACAGATGACCTTATGTTAAGATAATCTTGGATATACGACATGTGTTGCAATACTACAATAGGATACTTTCACAAGCTCCATGTGGATAAAAACTGTGGGAAATAAGAAAAAAGATAATTTTCTTCGACGATGAATCAAACTTTTGTCGATATGATTTGTGTTAAAATGTTTGTAATGATAATAAATAATAATAATAATAATAATAATAATAATAATAATAGTAATAATAATAATCATCATATTATCATTAAAATCAATCAAATCAATTAACAAGAATTCTTAATCGTTAAGTCATACAGTAACAGATTTGGTGAATAATGCAAATAAATAAAATTGTTTATGCCAGCAAATGCAAGCCAAATTGCAGATTGCAGCCACTTTTACTGTTAAAATCTAGCGTGGGATTCTTTATTTAGTATGATGAGTTCTATAGAGAAACAAGTCTAATATAAACATAACGTGTCAGTTAACAGATCAAAAATTCTTTTTTTTTCCTCGTTTCTGTGAAAAAAAAATTTCATAAAATAATGGAGATTGCTGCGGAAAACAATTAATGAATGTTGCTCTCATTAAAAGGAATTAGAATTTTTTCGTTCATAATCAATGAGCTTTTGCATGAAATGTTTACAATAGTGATTGAACATTTACATTGTTTAATTGCATCAAAAAAAAAAAAAATTGGGTTTAAAAAAATTTTCAGATAAACAATAACGTATATCAATTTTTATGTGATGCAAATCGATGCACAAATAACTTGATTGATGATTGAAATCATTTAACTATAACAGTTAGATCACCAACTTATTTATTTTTTTTTTATAAATATTACTGCAATAATTTCATAAACTGCATTATTTTCAATTAATTAGTTTTTTAGAAAACCAAATTTCTTGGATGAAATTCTTTTTTGTTTTCATGACCCTTTGATGCAAAATAACCACGAAATTCTTGTCCGCAGTAAGACTTTATCTTCCTTAATTTTCATTTCTCTTAGGAGAGAATGATTTCGAACCTTCATGCTCATATCCAAAACTCACATGAATGGCTTGTAGAGGGGAACATTGTGATATTGTTGATATTGTTTCAATGAGCCAAGTCGGTTATTCGCTATCACCGAGGATAAAGTTGTCAATTGCATGAAATTTCATCATCTTGGTGCTTATGCAAACATCATGAAAATTTTTTTCCTTCAATCATCATTCAAAAAAAATAAATTTTGGCTTCATTCACCCTGTGAAACATTGTACCTTATCAACACATTTAGGGGTTCCTTTCTTATTTGAATTGAAAGAAAAAAAAAAAAAAAAAAAAAAAATGTTTATGCAGGATTAAAAACGCCTGTGCTTTGTATATATACCGTTGTCGGCAATAAATATGTGGAGAAAACATTAAGACATAAATCAGATTATAGATCGGGTAAACGTCATTGTTTAAAAAAGTTTGGCCTCCTTAATTTCCATTGTCTTATAAATATTGTGTGCCCATTGTTTGATTGTTACCCAAAATTTTTTTTTTATATATGGTCATCACTTAAACCTGTCAAGGTATAACGTTTCACAAGATCCAAGAACTTTATATTCCACTTTCTCGGTATCGATTTCAGCCCTCAATAAATTTTAACACTTGCATGAATGAGTTGGATTTCTTTGTTATTTTTGACATACGGTTTAACCAATTAAGGACACCATTAACAAATAAAAAAAAAATAATTCATTTTTCATTTTCCTTTTTTTTCAAAAAAAACAAAAAATCGATTATGCGATTCACCACGAAAAAAAGATTTAGAAAGTGGAGATACCTTTTGATTGTGCATTAAATTAAAAGCTGTCAATTATGTCGATTTCCGTATGTAGATACAATTGTTGAAAACTTTTTTTATTGTGCAATTTAAAGTATTCTGCACGACAGGAAAGAAAAGGCTAAGTTAATCGTGATAAATTTCTTTGTAGAATTGCTTTTGCTTTCGTTAAAAAAAAAAAAAAAAAAAAATTATTATTATTTCATGTACAGTACAAAGAAAAGAAAGAGCATTGCATGAATATTTTTTTTTTTTTTTTTTTTTTACAATGAAAAGCGTTCGTATACCCAATTAAAGTTTAAGAAATACCGATAAGAAATATTAAATAACATATCGAATTAGTGCAGTTTAGTCATTTTTAAGGTGACATGTTACTACATAAAATCAGTAATAATGATTAGATTATCATTGTTGACAGTTTAAAAGGGTGTCACGCACCATTCTGATTTTGTTCATATTGCCTGTTGCACCGCAGCCGCAGCACACGCAACAAATCATGTGATTATATTACGTAGTGATGAATCATGTGCAATGTTTTTAAAATACGCCTAATCTATTTATAAAACTTTATAAATATTTCCTAACAAGAATAAGTATCAAATTCCTATTTTTAATCCTTTCTTTAATTGTCAAAACCTTTAATAGAAGGCGTTTTCTATTTATATAAAAAAGGTATACATACCATTAAAAAGTTTATATAAAATTCCCTTAAACAGGTTTTTTATTTATTTTGGAAAATTTTGTGTTCCAAAAATTTTTTTCTTCTGCGATTTGGACCGTATGACATTAAAGAGTAAAGAAATATTAAGCTCGCTGATATCAACCAAGTTGAATTTAGTGTTACATATTGCAGCTTTTATTAAACTTTTATAGAGATCCGTTGTTGGTTTTACAATCAAATATATATACATCATTTAAGGAGGTAATTATTTCTTTTTTTTTTTAAAAAAAAAAAAAAAAAAAAAAAATTATTAGAAAAAAAAGTTGTAGAAACTTCTTTTTTATTTATTAAAAATATTTTTTTTTTCGAATTTTTTTAAGGAGATAATACCAATAAAAATGAAAATTTTCATTAAAGCCGCATTAGTTGTCTTATTAATATTAAATGTCGCTATTGCGACAGCTCAACAAGACGTTCCTCTTGATCCTGGATTATATCCTACTACCGATGTCTCAAAACCAACTCCTTAAAAATTTTAATTGTTATTGAACTTATGGCAAGTCAAATGAATCATTGTTTATTCATAATATCCAATTATGTTGTTTATTAATTTAATATTTTTTATGCAGATGTAATATTACGAGTGAGAATTAATCAACATCATCGCAAAATTATTTATGAATTAAATTCTTACATTATTATTCTTTTTTTAGTTCACAAAAATAGTAGTCTTGTTTTTTTCTATATCGAATCAATTAACATCATAGTAAATATAAATATAAGCTAAAATAATAATGTATTAAATTATTAATAAGTACTTAATATAAAAAAAAAAAAAATTGTAACTATATTACTACATTTAGAATATTTGGTTCAGAAACTTTATTATAATAAAGTAAAGCACTTTATTATCTTTTCATATGCATGGTTTAATTATATTGGAAAGTTATTTGGTTATTTTTTTTTATAAAATGCTTTTTACACATTGTATTTTAATTTACATATATATTATAATAGTTACAATATATAATAATATATCAAGTTAAAATAAATTGTAAAATCAGTATCAGTATGATAATAAATTGCATTCATACATTAATTATTTAATTAAAAAATTTATAAAAATTATTTAATATCTTATTACTTATAATTTATTATTTAAAGTTGCTTATTTAAATTTATTTTAAATTTGATAAAAATATTTAAACATTTAACAATAAAGATGTAATATAGTTTTATTTATTTAAGATTAATAAATTAAAATTAATAATTTGATTTATTAGGTTAAATAAAAATATTATTTATGTTAATATATTATTAGTTTAAATTAAAATTGAAAAATAATATTTTGAATAAATAAGTTAATTTAAATTAAATAAAATATATAAAATAATAAATCAATAAATTATAAATATTATAAAGTAATAAAGGTAATAAATATTATAATAATAATTAATAATAAAAATATAATCAAAATTTTTTATCGCCATTTTCAAAATGGTATAACCTTATGTCAATCATCAGTTAAAAAAAATCCCTAATTTTCACGAAAATTTTAAATCCAATAAGCATATGATGCTTTTTTCCTGTGATTACTTACAATTTTCTAGCAAAACTTAGACTAATAAGTTTATTTACAGCTACTTTTTAAGTTTTGACTCAAGTTATTATATACTGTTTGAAATTTATTTCGTTTAAAGTTTGTGATTTCTACTGATTTCCTGATTTCCAGAACTTTTATAAGTATAAACTTCTAAATGATTCATGCTTTTAGTGAAGACTTGAAGTGGAAAAGTGATTTTCTTCATTATGATAGTCATAATACAGAAAAAATTGCCAAATTATTACATATTTATAAAGGTACTATTAAGAAAGTTTTATAAATATATATGCGATGAGAAACAGTTGTGAATCCTTGGCAAAGACCATTAGGATGTCACAAAATACTAACTTAAAATGATATGAAGGTATATATTTTATTAACCAAATATTATATTATTAGTTTTAATTGATACTATCAATTTAGGTATTGTAAGAATTAGTCAAGAACAAAGTAGATTGGTATTTAGATGAATTAGTTGGAGAACTTGAGTTATTAACAGGTAAATTAGTTTCTATATCAATTCTTTAGCAATCTTTAGTTTATTGTAGAATTAGTAGAAAAAAGGTTTTCAAATTATATCACGAACATCATTATTTATTGCTAATTGTTTTATTTATACAAGTTACATCAAGCAGCTTATGAATGAAATGAACTCCTTTGAAGCACATTTATTGCAAAGGTTGAGTATGAATATAAGTCTGAACAACTTATATTTATAGACGAAACTTCAAAAGATGAACGTACACTCTCTCGTGAATACAGATATTCTTTAAAAACACTTTTACAATTAAAAAAAATGTGTTCGTGCATGAAATATGATATACTATACTATCTGCCTTGTCTTTACAGGGTATTATCACTGTAAATATAATGGAAAGTAGTTGTTCTAAAGAGAGATTTAGAGAATTTGTTATTTCAAATGTGATAAATTAAAATTTTTCTGATAAAATATTATTATGTATTTTTTTTATTTATTGTTCTTTTTTTTATACTAGGTGCCTTAAATGAATGCATATCCTACTGAGCATAGTATTCTTATACTTGATAATGCATAAATCTATTATGACAGAGATCTCATAGAATATATCAAATCTTTTAGTAGACATGTTGAATTTTTACTTCCCTATTCTTCAGATTTCAATCCTATTGAATCTAATTTTTCCGTTATAAAATCTTTTTTAAAAAAATATAGAAATTTTGTTAATTCATATAATGATCTTAAATATCCTTTTCTTATTACATATGCTTAAATTACTTCACATATGGCTACAAAATTTTAAAGATTCAATTTATATGTAATATATTTTGTAAAGATTAAGTTTACTTTAATCTTAGAATATAATGGCAAAATAAATAGAAGTTTTATCAAAGATATTTTAAATAATAAAAAGATAAATTAAAGGTTAAGAAAATATATTATTAACTATAATAGGCATATTAATTTCAAAAAAAATCATTTATTATAAAATTCGAAATTATTGTTATTTGTAACATCATATTATTAACTATAATATCATACTCCCATACTATAATACTATTTGTAATGCTATGTTGCAGCTCTAAATGTTTTATATCATCTAATTTTATTTACGCCTAATTGATTAAATTTCACATCTGTAAGATCATAAATTTGATCTACAGTAATTCGCTCATTTTCAAAAATATTTTTGAATCTTGCAAATTCTTCAGTACCACCTGACGATTCATCTAATTTAGTAAAAAATTCATTAAGAGATAGAAGTGGAATTGGCTGTTTTGAAACTAATGACAAACCTAAAGAATTATTCATGTTTAAATTTTGTGCAAATGAAGCCATTTGAAGAGGCATAGCAAAAAAAAAAGGCATTAAATTTGCTAGAGTTAAGGGTGTTGTAGACTTTCTTTGATACTATTGAATTGCGAAAAAATTGATAAGTTTGGAATTTGAGTATTATCAGTAGTACCTCAAATCTAAAAATAAAAAACCTATAGTTAATAATTGTTTTGATAATTCTATAATTTTAAATAGTAAAATAATTACAATTTCCTTAGTATTAGCATTGGAGATACATTGCAGTAAGTTTTATATGTCATCTATTATTAATAAAGCATGTATCATATTGATTAGATTAACTTCATGCAGAAAATTTTTTGAAATAGATTATTTTTCTTTCTCTTTTTTGTTCTCTTTCTACCTTTCTACTTAATGTATCTTAATATTTTTTCTGTTATTTAATAAAATTCTTGCATAGTATTGCATTTTTGCTTTTTCTAATATTATTTCAAGAGCTGCCAATCATCTTGTTGATACTTTCACTTTCATTTTTATAATCTTTTTTTAATATTATATGATTATTTCTTTAGATAAAATTTTTAAAATTCAAAATTATTGATAAATCTATAAAAATCATAATCTATTTCTTTTTAGAATCCTTTAGCGGAATATCTTACCATCTGAGGTATCCTAATACTTTCATATTATTTACAGGCTATATAATAAACATTTTCCAATTTCTTAACACAATAATTCTACTTCTCAGATTTTGAAATCTTAGAGCATTTTTCCTTTTACCAGTATCTGATATTCGCAATCATTTGCTATTTAAAAATCTTTTTTAATCTTTCTTATTTTTCTACAGGATAAGTGAAAAACCTAAAACTTTTACTTTTACTTATGCTCAGTGATAACCTTTTCTATAATATTTAAAAACTAAAATATTGTCTATTAATTAATAATCCAATAATAATAATAAAATAGCATTTCTTTAATTTTAATTATCTTAGCATTTAGTAATTCGTTTGAGATGAAATACATATCATTATGATGCTCTTAACTTAATGAACACATTGATATTAATTTTACAAATTCTGATTAATAGATCACGAGAATTCACGTTAGAGACTTTTTGTTATATTTGAAAATTAGTGACACTGTACAATAATATGACTTGATTTGAAATTTAAATTTTTTTTCCTTTTATTCTTCCATTGATATTCTACTTTTTTAGATACTTCATATTTATTAAAATGTATTAATTTTAAATATTCAAACTATTTGCTACTATTTGATAGAATTGTAAGTAACTAAATATCAATATTTTTCTTAATACTTTAAATTCTTTCATTGATTTAACTAAATTTTGATTTTCATTACTTAAAGAAATTTTAATAAAGATAGTATTGAATTATCATTTTCTTCTACTTTATTTAAAGATTATTCTTCTCTTATATGATCTTTTAAGGATTAAACTCTAGTTAAATTATAGGATTTACTTTACTCAAAATTTTATTTGTATTTTTTTTAGACATTTCATCAAATGATATTATATTATATAATATATTATATGATTTAATTTTTAAATTTACATTTTAATTTAGTAAGTTACCTCATAGAATCATCTTAAGTTATTCAGAGAAAATATTTTTGAATTAGATGTTTTAGAAATTTATTTTCCTGATAGGAATTACCAATTTGTTAACTCTATGATTAGTCTATCAAGAAAATTACGAACCTAAAATGATAAACATCCCAAACTTAGGGTAATGATAACTTAATAATAGAGAGTAATATATGAAAAATTACTAGGTTACTATGGAATAAGTCCTATTACAATCAACCTTAAGTTTATAATTTAAACAAGTAAATAACTTTTAACAATTTTATAATAACAATAAACATGATTAATATATTGAAGGATTTAATATATGTAGATTAGAAAGAGATTTCTTTATTATAAAGATTTATATTCTTAACAATCCTTAACCTTAGATTCTAAGTTTATAACTCGTACTATTAAGTTATCACTATTATCTTTACTTTTTTGTAAAAATAAATTTCTATCTTATTTATACAAAATACAATTATACAAAAATTACTATCTAATGCTATTTTATATAAATTAAATTATAATATTAAAATAAATATAAAATATAAAATATAATTTAATAATATAATAAATAATGATAATAAAATATAAAAATAAAATAAAAATGTTAACTAAGTTAAAAATGCTAATATTATTAATAATGTTAATCATTTATCAATCTTTGTAATGCAGTAAAATTGACTTTACAGAATATTATCATATAAGCTAATGCAAGTATTTTAATTTGTAAGATATTTGTAATAGAAATACAAGCATTTAATCTCCATTTAACTTTCATATTATAATAGTATTGTAAGTTATTGATTTTACTCAATAAGGGATCATAATAAATGCACCATAAGAGCAGTAAGATTACTTCTCTTTGATCTATGCTTAAATATATAAGGTAAGTATCAGAATTACTATAGGTGATAAAAACTTGATTATATTTGGGAAAAAAAATTCTGAGAATAATTTGAATAAATATAAAGGGAGATATAATTTTTCAAGTGTAGCAGTTAATGTAAAGATGTTTATAAGATTGTAAGCTTTTGACATATCTTATAGAAGGACCTATAGTTCTAATTTATTGTAAAAAGCATTTTACTTAATGTTATCAAAAATGTATATAAGATCAAAGGTAAATTTGAAAAGAAAACTGGTAAAATCATATTTTTTTAGAATATTTTATTAAACAAAAATATTAGCAAATTAGGCATTAAATAATCTAATAAATGCTTTTCTTATATATTTTAATAAAGTAATTAGTCTAGTATTATTAAAATTATATTTTAAAGGCTTTGATTTCAGTATGAGATACATATAGGTCAGGTTCTAATGATTGAGAATTAAGAAGATTTTTACAGTTATAAATGATGTACCTTAAACATTTATTTGCAAGTAGTTCTAAGTATTTCAGCATTTTATTTGAAACCTTAGATAGTCTAGAGGCTTTATCATTAGAAAGTTGATCAATAATCCTATACTATTCATCTACGATTGGTAAAGATGTTAAATTATTGTAAATCTAAGAATTAATATGTTTTATTAGAAAGTATTTAGACGTCTAATTATCAGGATATTTTTAACACTGTGTTTTATACTGGTAACTTATTAGAAATATCTAGTAATTTTTTTTTAACATTATTTTATTTACTAGTAAATTATGAAATGTAGATGAATTATCAATGCATCTATTTAGGATAATGGTGGTCTTTCTTCAGTTAAGAACTGAGTTAATCATTTGAGATAAGTTATATTTATAATCATTAATTTGGTTATCAAGGGCTTTTTAAATGCTTTTAAGTTTAAAATCATATTCTCAGAGTTTGACTTTTATGTCAAGACTAATAAGTAAAAATTTTATATCTAAAAGAACAGAATGAATTAATGTATACTGAGAAGAACAATTTAAAAGAACAGTATTTAATCTAAATGAATAAGTGATTTTGAGAAATTGAATGTATAAATTAGTCTATTTAGGATATAAGACAAGATTTTTAAGACATTTTTTGAAATTTTTATGAAATAGTAAAGTAATTTAATATCCAAATATATTTTAAGTAGTGCTATAGATTTTTTTGACAAATAAAATAATCTAGATTTATGAATCAGAATACATTTTTTTGTAACTAAAATAGGAAGTCTTAAAAGAGTTCTCACATTAAATTTAGTGAGTTTTAAGACCAAATAGTATTGTTTGAAATTGTTTTAATAAATTTGAATTTATCATGTTATCAAATTTGTCACAGAATTTAGACCATTTAAAGTCATCTATTAAGATGTAGTTGAAAGATGATTTGACTAGGCTGTTTTTAATATTTGGTGATACTTTAAGGAAATTTATACATTAGGTTGAAATAATTTGATAATCAGATATCTCAAAATTTACTTGAGTGGTTTTGCAATCAAGAATATTAAATGATAATTCCAGTGTCATAACCCAATAAAAAATTTGATATAAAAATTTCATAAAAATATTAAGTTTTATAACATATAATTTTTATAAAATTTCAGTATAATATATATATCTTTTTTTTAGGTAAAAACTTTAAACTTAATACAAAAAAAAGTAGGAAAAAATATATATAAAAAATAAGGAAAAAAATATATATTTTATAATGCTTTAACAGATGCAAAAATCATGAATAAAATATATATTTTATAATGCTTTAATAGATATCAAAATTACGGATAAAATGTATATTTTAATTAAACAATTTAGATTTTATTGATATAATAAAAAATTAAAATTAAAATAAATTTAAAAAATCAATATTTTTTAACTTTTTTCCTTCTTGCATTTCTTGTTCTTTTGTATAATATTTTTTTTAATATAAATTAATCAAAATACATATAAAAAAAATGAGTATTATAAATTTGTAAAAAAAAAAAGATAAATTTCTTATCTTTTTTATTTTCATTAATTGAATTTTTATTTTCTTTTTCTTTAATATTTGTTGATATAAAATTAATATAAAAATTATTATTTATATAGTAAATTAATAAGAATTTCAATTTACCTAATTTTTATCATAAGATAAATTAAATTTTATATTAGAATTAAAGGAAATACTGGAAGTAGTATTGGCTTTATTATTAGTGCTAGTTTTACTTTCATTTTCTTTTTTGTTTTAATATTAATTAGCATAAAATTAAATTTAAGAATTTTTATTATTATATATTAGAAATAAAAATTTAAAAGTTACCTAAATAATCTCTTAAAAATCTTGCTTTTTTACTAATATTGGCTTTTGTAATATTGGCATTAGTACTGATATTGCTATTGATAATGGTATTAGTTTTAATACTAGTAATGTTAGCATTAGTATTAGTGTTAATATTAACACTGGCATTGGTAATAGTAGCAGCATTGACATTAGTAATATTTTCTTTTTAATATATAAATAAAATTTAGATATTTTATTTGTATTTTAATCAAAATATTAAAAAATAAAATCTTTGGTACCCAATAC